AGCAGTCTTTTCTTCAATGAAGTTAAGTACTGTATTTCAGCACCGTGTGTTGTGAAAAGGAAGCAATTTGGATTAATTTACTGAAATTTACCTTTCAGATGCAGTTAAGTGAAATTAAAAGTTTGTCTGAGTTGACAGAGTTCTGTTTTCCATCACTGCATTGTCTTGAAAGAAAGGATAACAGGCTAAGTGCCTAAATTCCATCCAAACTGATAAGGTTCACTCTATGCAGGCACACTTAGTGCAGTTTATTACACATTGTCTCCCTTCATCCATCACTGGTATAACTTTTTTTCTTTTTTTCTTAAAAAGAACTGTGGCTTCCAAAAGAAATTGATATTTGTGATGTTATTGCATTCATCTGGGGTTGAAGAGTCAGCACTGGGCTATCAGAGAAATGCCATTTCCAATTACAAGGAGAATTAATTTCATTTCCCACTCATGGGAGGGTTTGCAGGGCTGAGTTTACATCTGGGAGAAGAATTCCTTTTTCTCTCTTTTAATCACAGTTCTTTAATTTCCTTCCTGTGCAAGTGAAGCATCTGCGTGTCCTCAGTGTCTTTCCAAACACCATCTTCACCCAGATCTCTTCCTCAGCAGTGGGAATGAACCTCTGAAATTTCCCATTACATCCTCTCTAGTTCTTTCTTCCTCCAACTATATTTCTCTCTTTCCCATCTCCCAGCTGCCATCATTCCTTCAAAACCTCATACCTCCTGAAACACAATCCCAGCTCCTAACTCCTCTCCCTCCTCTTTCCCAGGAGCTTTCCTCCTGCCCTGCCTTTGGGCCCCGGGAGCTGTAACTCACCCACCCCAGCTGGGAGAGGTTCTCTGTTCTCTTGGGATGCTTCTGTTTGTCACCTTAAACCCTCTGCCCACTAGAACAAGGGTGCGAACCTGACCTGGCCTCCACTGACTACCCTGACACATCACAGCCATGTCTCTACTCCTTCAATTAACTAAGCAGCTCATCGTGAAAAGCCAGTGAATTATCTGTAATTAATTATTTATATTCAGCTGGGAGAGGTTCTCTGTTCTCTTGGGATGCTTCTGTTTGTCACCTTAAACCCTCTGCCCACTAGAACAAGGGTGCGAACCTGACCTGGCCTCCACTGACTACCCTGACACATCACAGCCATGTCTCTACTCCTTCAATTAACTAAGCAGCTCATCGTGAAAAGCCAGTGAATTATCTGTAATTAATTATTTATATT